GTTTCAAGGAGATTAGTCAAACAGCTTTTTTTTTGAACAATCCGTGTTGTGATATGCTTATTAAACTGTTCGAGTTACAGTGTAGCATTATTTTTTCATGTAATATGCTCTCAAATACTTTGCATAGCATGTATGTGAGAGAAACTGGTCTATAGTGTGATACTTTTAGTTTTCTTACTTTCTTAAAAAGGGGCGTGATGTTGGATTTCCTCCAGAGATCTGGTATAGCGCTGGTTGAGAAAGATTTCTTAAAAATAACGTTAAGGGCAATGCGAAAGCTTCTCTGCAGTATTTGATTACATGTGGGTGAATGTTATCAACACCGAAAGACTTAAATTCAGCTAGGTTTGCAAGTCGAACACGGATATCATTGATTGAAAAGATATTCTTGTCTAATATACATTTTTTGTCAGTTTGGGGTTTTGATTCCGGCCAGGTCCGTCAGGCTCGTTTACAAATAATGATTGGAAGTAATTGTTCAGCGTTGTGCAATAACTTGAAGATCTGTTGAAATTGTTCCATCAGTTATTTCTATAGAGTTGAATACAATTTTGAGTAGTTATTGCTTTTGATATGAGTGTGTAGATTTTTAGGGTCATTTTTATATAAATGAGCTAGGTCCTCTTCATAATCTAAAACGGCTTTTGAAATGTAACAAAAACTTCAATCTAAAACGGCTTTAGAAATGTAACAAAAACTTCAAAGTTTTTGTTACATTTCTACATGCTTCTTTGTGCTTTTCTTTGAGCTCTCTATGTGTATATCGACCAAAGGCGATATATTTATTTCAAAGTTTTTGTTTTGTTCTAATAGCTTTTAAAACTTCGCCTGTTATCCATGGTTCGTGTTTCTTCTTGAAGGGCACAGTAGTCGATGGTATAAGTTCTGTTATTAGTTTGTTGTACACTTCTAGGAATAGATTGTAACATTCGTTAGTTGAGTAATTTTCCAATCAGCTATTCCAATCGGTTGAACAAAAATGCTGGGTGTTTTTTGAGTAATGTTTTTAGGTGGAGGAGTTATCCTGAGCATTGCTTGTTGTAGCTGCTGTATTGCTTCGTTGATATTCGTTGAGAGCTGTCGTTGCTGAGGCGAACACATATTTCTTTTGCTCATTTAACTTTGTGACATCAAGCATATTTAACCGGTTCTTTCGTCGATGACATTCTAAAACGGTTTGTTGAGAATCTTAGCATTTTTTAGTTCTTCGTTTTTCTTTTAAAGTCTAGCTCAAATTTTGGTAGGTAACGGATTTTTTGTCTTCCAGTTTCTCGTTGAGATCGTCAATTTGGGCATTGAGTTTCGCCACGGTTTCTTCGTTTAATTTAATTATTATTTAATTGCGCAGAGAATAATGTGACCTTGAGAATCTCAACGACATGATTTTTGTAGTTTTCGTTGAATATTTTGCTTGCGAATGTTGTTGCCATGGTGTCTCTTATCGCAGCGTCGACAATCAGTACACAAGTTGGGTCGAGAGTAGCAGCAGCGGCCGCTTTGCCGGTCAGCGTGGAGTTCATTTTACGAATAATTTATGATAATTAATAATTATGACAATATGATAATTTATTACAAAATATATAATATACTATGATATAATATTATGTCATGAATTATAAGTACGGTATTTATGGCAAAGTATTAAAAAAACAACAAAAAAAAGTAATTATAAAAAGTAATAAAATATTATAAAAGTGGAAACGAGATTAAATTGGAAACAGACAAATAATTATAGAATATAGTAACACTTTTATAGTATGAAAAAATTAAATAAGATATAATAAAAACTTATTATTAATCTCTGCGAATTATTGTTGAAGAATTAGTGCGAGAATAGATAAGAAAATTGAAAATCAATTAAGACTAGAAATTATAAAAAAACTCAAAAACTAAAAGTCAAATAAACAATAATGAGAAAGTAAGATAAGATAAAATGAGAACAGACAATATAAGTTACATAAATATAAAAGTCAAAAAATAAAAAAAATAAAAAATTAAAGCAAAGTAAAAAAACTGAATAAACTACCATCAATATATACTAAAAGAAAAGATCTAGTAACAAAATATAATGAAAATAACTTTCTCTTAAACTTAATTTTTTCTTACGTAAAATACGTGTTTATACGAAGGCGAAAGTCCAAATATATATATATATATATATATATATATATATATATATATATATATATATATATATATATATATATATATATATATATATATATATATATATATATATATATATATGTATATATATATATATATATATATATATATATATATATATATATATATATATATATATATATATATATATATATATATATATATATATATATATATATATATATATATATATATATATATATATATATATATATATATATATATATATATATATATATATATATATATATATATATATATATATATATGTATATATATATATATATATATATATATATATTATATATATATATATATATATATATATATATTGTATACAATTTGCATAAAATTTTGCTTTTTTACAAACATTTTAATGACACATAATATTCGTAAAAAACTAACATAACAGGTAACATAATGGTAAAATATAACGCTTTTCATAGACAAAAATATAGGTAAATAATATTGGGAAACATAACGCTCAAGACATAATTCTCACTAACTTAACGGGAAAATTTCATAGCATTTCTAAGATCTTCAAGAAAGTAAAGACCTTTAATATGCATTTACGGTTAATTTGTAAAACTTCAATGTTATTTAAAAGATGTATGATCTCCTTTAAACCGACAACATAATTATAAACACATAAAAGGTTAATAATTATAAACACATAAAAGGTTAATAATTATAAACACATAAAAATAGCCAATAATAGTTAAAAAAAATGTTTATCAATTTATATTTTATTAGGCGCTAATTTTTATTGGAAATTTATGGATAATTCAATTACAAGGGGTGTAACAGCCCGGTTGCTGTTAAGTTGGAATTGACGGACCTTTGATAGTAAATAAAAATCAATTTGAAGAACTTGACTATTTTATAATCTCGTGCAGCTCTGAATTTCTCAAGCAGCCTCTGAATTTAGTTAGGAAAAAGTTATAAATAAAAATTAATCATAATTTTAAATCATAATAGAATAACTTTCTTTAATTCTTAATTAAATAAACTTACTCTATTTCAACCGACATGGCTGATCATGGAGTGACATTAAAGAGACTTTAATCTTTTCATTCATGCATATGTAATATTTATAGACAAACCAACGAAACGTAACATTCCGAAAATGATACTAGCTTTTATGATCTCTAATTTTTGACTTCTGTTACTTTTAGATGTACGATTTTATTCCAGTTAGTTTGCAAACTATGATTAGAATGGTGTTCACTTATCGTAAATGATAGTTTAAAAAAATGAAAAGAAATAATTAGTGAATTAAGATAAGTTCCTTTTATTAGTATACCTAGATGGTACAGCAAGTCTGTTACCAACACTCTATTCACTAAATTTGAATTAAATGGCTTACATATTACATATATTACATATGGCTTATACATTACTTTTGTATTTCTGTAATAACAAAAACGTTATTTGATTATAATCATCACGTTTTTCATGTAATACCAGAAAAGAAATGCAGAAATTTCTTTTCTTGATATTACACTGTTTTTAAAGTAAACTATTTATTTAAATGTTTATCAATTTTAGAATCAAAAACTTATTATGTCGACAAAACTTGAGTTGTCGACGTTTCACGTGAAGGGTTTGTCATGGCGAAAGATGCTAAGGCATCTACCATTTGTTTCTTTCTTGTATCTGCTTAACAAAAAAGTATATAATTTTTACATGTTGAAGTTTTGATCGCTTGTAACTTCATAATGCAGCGAAACTAAATGTGAACAAATTTGAAACCCGTATAATAAGCGTCCTTTTTCGAAGTATATGTATATCCTAGGTAACGTCTTCTACGTCTTAAAAAAAACCTCTTCTAAAATTTCATCTGGCAATTAAATCTAAACTCAATATGAACATTAAATATAAACGTTTTTTAAAATTTGACTTCGAACCCTGTTTATACGCACGATTAGAAATTTTTCAGGGGCTTATACGTTTTTTCTAGATAGATCGATTTGTATTTTGCAATTTAAGACTTTTTAATTGTTAACAATATTTTCATTAGAAATTATAAGCACCTGTCTGACATACCTGATTCCAACGCCTCAGGATGTAGACAGTACACTTTTATTGAATTAAATTTAGTAAAATAAATCTTGAAATTCAAAAAAATAACAATGGTGAAATGTGGACAACTAAAAAAAATGCAAGTATTTTCAAAAAAGTTTTGCATCAGTTGGAGAGAATTTATTTAAGAAAATTCAAGACATGTTAAATCTGTTAAATAATTTTGTGTTATTGATTGTTAATTGAGGCTTAAAAGCAGTAGTCTGGCATACCTGCTTCATTCCAAGGCCTCTGGTTAATAGTAGTTTTTTATTTTCCGAATCTGAATAAAATAAAACTAGTTAAATAATAAAGCCAATAAAAAAAATTATATGAAATACGAAATTATATTTAAAAAATACAACTAACAAAATATCAAATGTTTTATTTTTATTTTGTCTTGTTTTTGTTAAGTTAAACAAAACTGGTTTAACATTTCGCCAACACATTAACTATTACTAATGTAGTAAATTAGCTGTTTTGAAGTCACGGGGTAAGTTGATGTAACTATGCAAGAGCTTTTTTTTCTTTAAATTTAATAAAATTTTCTTTAAATCTGTTAACAGAAAATATTTTTTTGTTCTGGTTGTAAAAAAAGTTTTAGGTGCTTTCCATTAGATTTTTTTAAAACCTTTTTTAGCAAGTTTTTTGTTACCCACTGGCAACTACCTTTTATTGAAATCTGATTAGCCTTGAGGTAAAGCTTGTATAATACATCTATAAAAAGTTGAAACCAACTAAGCAAACAAATAATGCTAAAAAATACCAGTTACCTGCTTCATTTGAAGTCTGTGAAAAGTCTAAAAAGTATAACTAGTTATAATATATTATACTGTTTTTTATTAATTATAATATATTAATACTATATATATTGTATTTGCTCATATTTTTATGATTTATGTTTGGCATTTCACGCTTAAATAACATTCACAAATATCTTGAAATAAATAAAAATAGTTTTAAATCTTTTTTTAATAATTAATTTCCTGCTAAATTCAAAACTTAAAAATTAATTACCTGTTTCTAATGCATATGAATAATAAAAGAGTTTTTGATAAGTTACTTGTATTTAAGAGCGCTTATTTTATTTATTTCATATCAACATTTTCAGTAAAAACTGTTATTTCCATTATGTTTCAACATTCATAACATTTCAAAACTCAAAAGTAAAAACCAAGTTTATTTAAAGATTATTGACCTAAATTCAAAAAACATCATTTGATTATTTTAGTTAAAAGTCATGAAAATTCAAAAATATTTGGCAAACTACTAAATTGTTACATGACAACGTGACACCATGACCAATGACATTACCATCAACTAAAAGTAAAATTAAATCCAAATCTTCTTATGAGATAAAAGTGGTTTTCTAATGTTAATGGTGATAATTAACCTGCAAATGGGTCGTTAATATGGTGTAAACTCTGGCTTATTTAAAAAAATAAAAATGTTATACTTTTTTTTTCATGGACTATATGCCTTTCACAAATGCTGGTAAATAGAAGTGTTTTTAATATGCATTACAAACAGCGCTACAGTATATTTTTTGTGCGCTCAAAATGCGCTACAATAAATTATTTTAAACACAAAACAAATAAAATGTTGTATAAAGTTAAATAAACGTTTAGTCTTTCTTTTGTACTACTTTTTTTAATTATATAACTCAATACAGTTATTTAATGTGTTTATGCTGGCAACAAACCTGATGTTTTTAGTATTTGTGTTATAATTTAGTTAATCTAGCTAAATATAAACAGGTCATTAAATTATTTTGGTGTTTATTTGTTTTCCTTGTTAATATGTTTACTTAATAAATTGCTAAAGGTCTTAAGTGACTGTTCATCATGTTTGTTGGATACTTTAAAAATTAAATATTTTTTATTTCAAGTATTGTAATTAATTTTATCAAGGTTAAAAAAATCAAATTGTTTTAAGAAATTCATTGGTTTCTTGTAATAATTTAATTTATTGCATAGTTATGGTGCTCTACAGACAAAAATCGATGATGAAAACTCTGTAATTTGTATGCTTTAAGTTGGTAATAATATAGGAGTAAAAAAAAAATCACGTAGTATGAACTTCTAAGGCTTTAGATTTCTCTACTAGTATACTATAAAACTTGTTTGGTAATCAAAGTTAGGTAGTTCAAGTAAGGTGATAAAAATAACTAATGTAAACACAGTATGTATACAACTGTTAATGTAAAACTCATACTTTTGCATTTAATGTAAGTGAATATCTCATTTGATAAAAAACGTAGATTTTTGATTTTATAATCAAATTTAAATTTTTTACTAAAGAGATATGTACAAGCACTGTGCAAAACAAAAATCGCTAAGCGTCGTTGAAAAATTATTCGTTTTCATTAAAACTGGTTAATTTAAATAGATATACTAGAAAATTATTAAAAAATCTAAAAACTTAAATGAAAAGAATTTTAAAAGAGCAAGATGTCAATCATAGCATCAAAAAGTAACATTCTTCTGTTGTCAAATGTAATCCACTTAAAAAAAAAAACATAATTTTTATAGTTTATGTCATAGTTTGTGACCATGGTTTTTTATAGAAATGAGTTCTTGCCCAATCGGCATTCGTGACGCTGTTATTAATTTGTATTTTCAGAAACCAAGTACAGTTAATAAGGTTTATTTGATTTGTATTATGTATTTTCAAATTTGAAATCAAACGTCTTAACAGTTTGTAGTTTAAGAAAAGTTTATAGAAAGTTTTGAATGTTAGTAAACAAGTGAAAAGATCCTGATAAAATGGTACATTTATTTAAAAAAACGTATAAAGAAAGTAAAGGTGTTTTGAATAAGTCATTGCGCGAGTCCCCAATTAGCAGGATAGGATAATATACAAGAAACCATAACAAGCTAAACATATCACAATTTATAAATAAAACTTCATTTAAAAAAAAAATATATAGATCTTGATGAACCATTTTTTTGATATGTCATCAGGAGGTTTGAGAGTATATCAGACATCTATGGTTCAAAGATTTCACAGAAAGTTGCATTTTTAGTTTTGATGAAATTAAATGCAAAAGAGAGATTTTAAAATTAAAGTGAGCTTTTAAAATTAAATAGTAATTTTTAAGTTGTTTTTGTTAAATTAAATAATCGATGTATGTTAATTTGTATCTGAAATTGGCACCACTGAGGATAACTCCTATTAGAAGTTATTTAGCATAGATAGAAATCGGATCTTTCATTGACAGCTTACATAGATTGTACGATGTACAATAACGGCAAACGCAGGTCGTACGATCATATAGATTAGTAGAGACTTAGTAAAATAAAGGTATTGATTAAATATCATTAAAATTTATGAAGGACAAATCCTTATTTCTTGAGAAATATTATCACAACCAGACTATAGAAGCTCAGCGCAATCATAAGATTTTTTATCCTGAGTTTTTAACAGACTGTAAGACTTTATGCTTGCTGACGTCAATAAATTAAAAAGTTTAGTCATTGCACGAGGAGTTAAACAGAGCAACTACAATATACAAAGGTTAACTAAGATTAACTTCAGTTTTACATGTCAGTAGATCTCAATTTAATAAATACTGTGTTAATTTTTTTAGCATTTCTTTGAACAAAAATACATATTTTATTTAGGATATTATTAGATTTTTATTACTATTAGGGATACGGCAGTAAGTTTGTTTTCTGCTACTGAGAATAAACGAAAGAGGAATCTACAGGCAAGTTAGAATTATTTTCAACTCAAAATGATTGGTACTTAATGTTTGTTTTTGATGGACAGCAGTAAAAAAACATGCATATTTACAAAGTTATCGTTGTTCGATGTAAATATCTAGACACCCGATATAAAAATTTAAAAAACACATATCATATAAAATATCTATAGCATATACTGCAATGAAACATTTAAAAAATACAGAATACGTGGCATTTAAAATTAAAGTAAAACGTATATGAAAAAAAAATTTGGATTATAATTTTTAAATCTTAGATTTTAATCTTTACAGGGCTGTTTTGAAATGAAGCTATCACTACATTACGGAAAACCCATCAAAGATTTTGATAGAAATATGTGCAGTATAGAAAACTTTTAATCTCAAGAACAATACAAATCACATGTTTAGCCTGGGTTAGGAATTTCACATAATACAAGGAAATCTCCCTTTTTTTAGTTGAAAAGAAATTCAAGTGGCCAGAGCGTATTTAACATAGCGTAGTTAACTATTAAAAAGTATAATTATTGAAAGAAAAAAATTATGAAATAGAAAATTTAAAAAAAAAAAACACTAAATAAGTTTTAGTAAAATTATTAAAAATTGCCAAAAAATATTTATAAGTGAACTTAATAAAACATAACACGACAGTTTATTAAATAACTAATTAAAAGCAGTAGCTGAGTAGTGCTTAATGGTAGTAATTTATCTGCTCGCGTTTGTTTGCTTAAAAATAAATTAAAAACAATGGTCACTTAAGAATGGTTTTGTTCAATATCTACTTTTTAATGAAAACGAGTTCTCTTTAAAAAATTTTATTTTAAGATACTGGCCTATAGCAACCGGGAGGTCAGCAGAGGCATTTTTTCCCCTCCCCTTCATAATTTTTAAAATAAAAATTTTTTAAGTTAGTTTTTAGAAAAAAGCAAACGATTATAAATTAAAATATAAAAATAAAAAAAAGGAAGAAAAGACCAAATTTGTTATCCGTATTTTCGGCGTAAATTTCTTTTACAAAAATTTGAGACCGACTACAAATTTGATCTACCCAGTAGTATTGCCCCCCACAGTAGCCATAATTAAAAAGTCAGCCGAAGCACAAGACGCATTTTAGACACTTACCCAGTAAGCACAAGACGCATTTTAGACACTTATAGACGTCTAAAACTAGTCTAGGTAAAGACGCACTTTTATAGACGTTTTGAAGACATCTTTTAGACGTCTTTAAAATGACGTTTAAAAGGCGTCTTTTTAAAAGATAAAAAGACGTCTAGAAGACGTCAATTTTTAAGACATCTTCTAGAGGTCTTTTATAAAGGCGTTTTTAAAATGACGTTCAAAAGGCGTCTATTTGAGCGTTAAAAAAACGTCTAGAAGATATATATTTTTTTAAGACATCTTCTAGACGTCTTTAATAAATGCGATTTTAAAATGACGTTTAAAATGCGTCTTTTTAAAGTTTAAAAAGACGTTTAAAAGACGCATAATAAATAGTCTAAAAGACGCATTAAAAGACGTCTAGATCAAGACTAAAAGACGTCTTTTCTGAGACCTGTTTATAAATATGTCATTATGACTTCTTTTTGACGGCTTTGTCATTACGCGTTAAGTAGATGTCGTATATTCAAAGTAAAAACATAGTTTTTATTATTTTCAATAATTTGTTTAAGTTTTAAGTGTAAATTACTTTAAATTAAATTACTTTTTTACACAATTGCTAAAATTGTTGTCACAGGAATCACTAAAATAATTGCTATAATATTAATATATCTTTTATTAATAATTATTTTGCTAAATTTATTTAATAAATAATTATAAATAAATAATAATTTATTTAATAAATTTTATTATAACTAAAGGTAAGTTTAAAATGTTTTAACTACTGTTTTGATATATATTTGTTATTGTTATATATTATTTTCATCTTTGATGCATCAATCGTTTGTGGTGATTACAGCAATATTATTTTGATTGCTGGTTCCTATGGATATTTTGTATATACGAAATTATAACAATATATGAATTTATAAATACAATGAATATATACCACATACTACGCGAAAATGTTACGTCATGTACTTAAATTGATCTTGAAAAAAACGTCTAAAATATGTCTAAAACGCGTTTTTATAAAGACGTCTTCATTTAGACGTCTTTTAGCCTTATGATCTAGACGTCTACAAGTGCGCCTTTTAGACCTCCTTAAAGACATCTTTAAAACGTCTTTTAAACGTCTTTGTGCTTACTGGGTTATAGACGTCTAAAACTAGTCTAGGTAAAGACGCACTTTTATAGGCTTTATAAAGACATCTTTTAGACGTCTTTTATAAATGCGTTTTTAGAATGACGTTTAAAAGGCGTCTATTTAAGCGTTAAAAAAACGTCTAGAAGATATCTTTTTTCAAGACATCTTCTAGACGTCTTTAATAAATGCGATTTTAAAATGACGTTTAAAATGCGTCTTTTTA